GAAATATGAAAATTTTAAGATGAAGAAAAAGTATTTGTATACTTAAAATGAAAATCACTTTGCACTCAATTTGTTAATTGTTTGAATGCGAGTAACTACAATAAAAATAACATAATTTTAGGTAAAACATTTAATTATAAAATTGTCATTATTTGTGTACAAGATACTTATGATCTTTAATGAAATTTACCAGTTTTTGCAATTTATGAGACACACTTTTCCAGTTTGGCTATAAAGTCATGCATGTCTGATAGAGTTAAACAATGTAGCAAGAGAACCCAGTGTTGTACCTTTCTTACCAGAAAAACATATAATAAGTAAACCTTGGAATTTCCAGATGGAGGATGCCAGACTAAGGCAGCATGGCAACCAGAAGGAAACTTTATACGTAGTGGATTTGGACATAGGGAGGATGCTTATCTTATTCTTTCTCTAGAAGTCTTAGGCTTTAGAACTAAAGAACGGCTAGCAAATGGTCAAGCTGCAGAAATTGGAAGAGTCAGTTTTACATTTGAAGTGGACTGTGAAAAAGAATGCGAGTTTGTATTTATGCAGGCAAGTGTTTTGGCATAGAATATTTTACGCAGTGTAAATTTAGGGTTGTAGTCTGGCCTAGACTTTGTTTAGATGTATTTGTACTTTACAATCTTATATATATATATAAGATTGTAGATTGAACTAATATATTTACAGTTGAATTCAGTTTGCTCTGTATTGATTTACATGTTCAGTTGTGTATGTCTGTGGTTTAATTGGGTATGTCTGTATATGCATAGTGTGATCCTATTTGTATATAAACCTGTCCAAAAAAAATTAAAGAGGATAATTTTATAGTTTAATTGTTCTTCAATGAAACACAAAGTGGAGCTGAAATTGTAGGAACAAAATTTATGCCGTGAATACAATTAATGAGTCTGTTTCATTAAGAGTATATCTATAGTTACAATGAATATGAGTAACCCTCAAATTTAAAGTGATGAAAGTTTGAATTGAACTAAACCAACTTGACTGAAAGAGATGCATTTGGCACAGAATAATTACTCAATAATGATTATGTGTCACTGTAGGTTTGAAATGGCCTTTGTAACTACAAGGTTTCTGATGAGTCAGCAGACAGTATTGACGGCAGCAACTCCTATTCCATGGCTGATTAAGGCACTGATATACATAACATCCAAGGAGGTTCCAATGCTGTTCTTTGGGATTTAAATAATAATTTCTTGTTGTCAATACCTGGCCTCTGTAATATGTAGTTTGAGATAGACCATCCCAGTCCTGGAATTATGATACCAGTAATTATGTCATTATTCTGTATTAGGACAAACTCTATTCTGATTGCACCTGCAAGCTGTGATACAACTAAGTCCACTATGCCATGCTGATGTACTGTTGATCATTAACTCCATCCTTTTGAAACACAATAAGATATTTATATCTATTTGTTCTAATATCTCCCCATACCCTAATTGAATTCCTCAAAATGGACACATGCTCTTCATCCATTGTTCACCAGAGATGAAACCATTGATCAGTGGTAGAGAACCTGACTTATCTCTGAAGAAATTTGGTGCCAAACTCTGAATGGTATTAGCAAGGTCCAAATTATCTGTGTGGTTAAGTGCAGAGTCAAAGCAGGTTTTCTGGACATTAAGCCAGGCTCATGAACATTGCTCTTTACTGTTTAATTATTGATAGTCTGATTATGCAACTATAAACTTTCTCTCTTTGGACCTGATTATACCAAATGACCTGCCTTATTGTTTGGTTCCAGATTTAAAAATTGGTTACAGACTACTTCATTGAAAATTGAACCTTTGCTTACTACCAGCTGTTAACACTTTCTCAAAATTATATAGGAAGTAGTTCATTAAATATGAAGATGAAACAGGGGTTCTTTATTTCTATGGCATATAGCAAGTGTAAAATGTATCAAATCTATTAAGCATCATCACAGTAGGACACTTGAAATTTGTACATAATTAATGACATATTAAATTTTGGAATTATTTTTATGTGTAATTTGTTAGACTGTATTAAATGTTTCTCCCTGTAATTTTTTTATTTAGTATGGAAATGTGTGTTTAAGCAGGTTTTTTGATCTACTAAATTTATATATGCTATAATGTTTATGTGTGTGTGAGTGTATATATATATAAACTTCAAACAACTAGAACAAAATAAGTGGTGCCATACATGACAGTGAAATAAAACTATGGCATTAACTGCAACTTAGAAATATTAATTATTGGAAAAGGAGAGCTTATGTAAGATCTCCCGGGAAGGTGGGAGAATGGAGAATTATGGGTAAGTTGCTAAATATTCTATGTTACATCAAGGTCGCTCAGAACTTTCAGTCACATGATTGTTGGCAGCATGAGAATGACTAAATAAGGAATGGGTTTCAGTATTTTAGAGGTAAGTATTCGTTTGATATTCATGTGTGTTTGGACATGTTGTTTTACCAGATGTTTTTATTTATCCATATGGTGTGTGGTTTTGTTAATCATCATTGGTGTATGTGTACTGTTTTTTGAATGTTAACATAATGAAAAAAAAAGTAGTGTTTAAACGAGTACCAAAAATCCTACCTGGATACCCAGATGGGTAATTTGGATGGGTATCCTGGTGCTCGAAAATTTCTGACCTTTATCAACACAACAGTTTATGCAGAAGACAAGACAGTATGAACCAGGATGCCACGAAGTTTAAGTTAAAACAGGAAATAATTATAATTGAAAGATGAAAATGTTGTTAACCTCGAAACGTTTTGCGGTCATTGTGTATACTATAGCATAGGCCTACAAAGTATAGACTACTGTATGTATTCCCACTATTCTTTATGAGGTACTGAAACAAATTCAAACAAACATCTCTCCATTTTTTAACTTTTCACCAATTAGTGATGAGTACCGATTTAGTGGTCATGAAATTAATATTAAAGTATAAAGCTTCCAACTCTTTCTTCAGTTGAATACTATTAACTTATTGGTAACGAAACAGAGTGATCTTTAACAGTTCATCCTAACTGACTGTCATTACACAATACCTGTGCTGTGCAAGCAATATTTGTACATGGTGATGACACTTAAGTTATACATACGTACATTTACATTCAGACGTTATGGCATCTACGGCCTCCTGTCATTATAACACACATTGAGAGATTACATTCGAGACTGCTGAGTGCACATGTGCTATCAGAAAAGTTAGCACAATTGATGGGTGGAGCTTATCTCAAATGTTTCATTTACAAAACTTTGATAATTCCTCTTTAAGATCAGTGTGTGAGTTTCTCTCGTAAATTGCAATGAAGTGAAACAACAATTCTATGGCAACGATCACCTCATCCTGATATCTCGAATTATAAAGAGCAGCAGCTAGCTATGTTGAAACAAGTCAAATATAGAAACTTTTGGAAGATCATATTTACATTGATACAATACTTTACAGTATTTACTATTACAAATCTCACAGTCATTAAGCAGTAGGCCTCATTTCTGTCCTAGAATGTCGATTGTGCCAAGCTACAAAATGGTGGTAACCACAAACTGATTGCATGTAGTGAATCAACTAATAATCATTTCACAAAGAAAAATTTTAAATGGACTGTTCAAAATTTGCTGCTTACTTAACTGATTCTTTGTCTCCTATATTCATTATGGAAGAGGTAAAAGTTAATATGGTATAAGCAACTACTGAGAATATAATGAATGATTGAATAACATGATTGATAAGGTACTCGAGAATTTTTGGACACTATTAAACTTAAAGATCAGTGACTTACTAATCAGTGTTGCTTGCTCACCACTAGAACTTAATCTGAGTCTCTATCACTATCCTTGCTTCCACTTTCATCTTCAATTTCTGTTTCATGACTTTTTTTGCTTGTTTCTGATTTTTGCTTACTGTTTTCTCTTAAAAATAATAGTTTTTCTGCAGCTCTGTTTATATTACTTTGATTTTAACTTTGCATAACTTTTCTTAAGAATCGGGTAGTAAACTTAGAACCAGGTAACAGTTGTAATGGGTGGGTACCAAGTGAAGACACTATGAAAATTGTGTATTAGTAGTATTTGCTTATGCAGGATTTGAAATGAAATAAATGGGCTCATACTATTTTCAACTATTTTATTCATATCCCAAATATAAATTTTACTCTGAACTCTTTCAGATTGAATTTCAATTTCAATAGCAGTAGTATCTATATTTACAAATTGTATTTTTACTGATTTCAAAAATTCTAGAAACAAGTGTCAAATGAAATAACTTTTGTCTGCAGAGTTCACTGCAGAGAGGTGTGGCAGTTATTGAAACTTGGTCTGGTCGACAAAAGAAACAACATTACAGGTAAGAAGACTAGCAAGCATTAGAAAGGGACTCAAAATTAACTAAATATAGAACTTACATTAATCATTAGATGCACAAAAAGGAGTGGTTGATATTTAAAGGACTAAAGTTGTATTGCCAATATTTCAAAATTTAATTAGCATTTTTCAATTTTAAAAAATAATGTAAGCATAGAATTTATAATCAGTTTTAAACTCATTTCATTTTAAAATAGGAAAAAACAAGCTTTGTCAATTTGAGACATAAAATATGTCTCTTGTTTTAGTTTAATTAATATTTTTTTCAGTAATTGTGAGTTGTTTCTTGTAGGTAAGTTTGTTGAATATTGACCCTTTCACATCGTATAGGTCAAAGAGCACATGTCACAACCTTTTACCGAGTTGCATTCAAAATTTAATTAAACTACTTTATTATCAATGTATACAAATAAACCTGGCATCAGAAAAAATTAATAAATCGAATTTTAATATTATATAAATTTTAAGTTCTTAATTTTATATAAAAATATTAAAAAACTCTAAAATCTCCCATAGTATGCAAACTATGACATATGCTCTCTAGGTCTTCCCTCGTCTCTAATTTATTTACCACCCATCTGAGAAGTACAGAATTTAACATAAATTACTTATTGTAATATAGATATTACTCAGACAAAGCATAATTTTTTAGCTTTCAATCTTATTTATTTTTGGAGCCCTAAACCAGAAAATCAAACCCATTTGCCCTACCCACCTGTCATGTCCTCTCTTTCCTAAATTGTCAGTGGTTTTCTCTGATGTTTTATACTATGTTATTTGTAGCTAATGAAAAGCCAAAGTTTTAATCCATCAAATGATGTATTATATTACATTGTTTTCTGTACAGAGAATTGCCTAGAAAGAATATGTCACATTTCTCACAATAATGGAAATTCAGATATTTTTAAATATTGCCTTATAAAATTAAGAACTTAAAACATATATATACTATTAAAATATGGATTATTAGTTATGATTTTATGTTATACTAATTTATATAACATAAACAAAAAGTAGCTTAATTGAGATTTGTATGTAAGACACTAAAACCTTGTGACATGCACAGTAAAGGATGGCTGGGGTGAGAGGGTTAATGTTTACTGAAAGCCTGCCAAATTTTGTGAAGATACATTAAGTACTTTCAGAATCATAGTATGTATACCACCATGGTTACATGGTAGTTACAAGGTTTTGTAAAATTCATAAGGCCATTGTGGTATGGTTAAAAAAAGTCATTATGTTCAGTGAAGAGAAGAGTTCCATTTCGGTTCTTGAAAGTTTGGAGTAAGGTCAGATATTCACAGATTTTTTAACTCAAAATAAGATGAAGAAAAAAAGTTGTGACTGGTTTGATGTATTATTATTTTCACAAAAACAACATTTTTCTGCCAGATTGTAATACTTCATAACTTGTAAATACAATCATTGCTGTAGATTATTTACCTTAAATTGGTTGTATATTAAACTCCAGGTACCTGCAAACATTTCTTTTATTTTGATTAAAATATAATCTGATTTTTTTGTTGTTGAATGAAGATCATTCATTTTTGTTTTATACAGTCAATTGCCAGTAATTAAAAAAATACTTATTATTATTTTTTATTTGAAGTTGCTATAAAATTTTTGACTTTTTTTACACCAGTTTCACCTATATATCAATTTAGAAAAATTTTCAAGTACTTTATATACAATAGGAAATTTCAGTTTGTCTAGCTAACTTGACAAAATGATAGGTATGTTTTTGAGCACTTCATAATTGTAGGAAAAGTATTTTTAATTAATTTTGAGACCATCACTAGATTATAGAAAATAAATATCTGGTAATTTTACCTTCAAATACCATTCATTAAGGCATTTAGAATGTAGATATGGTAATGTTCTTTTGTTTTATTTGTTGACTAGATTCTTAAAAATGATTTCATGTTGTAATACCCTTTATGTTCTTGCAGTGTTAAAAACTAAATTCTGTAATCTATGGAAGTAACAACATAAACCTTATTTATTATGAATGTTTATGAATTGTGCTAACCATAGTTAATTTTCATAAAGTTGTTTACAGTTTACATTCTTTTGCAGACACATTTTTACTAAATGAAAATTTAGTTCTAACAGAAATATAGCTCAATATCAAAATCCAGGAAAGAGGAAATGTTTTACCTCTAATTTTTTGCATAATTTCTAACAGTACATTTTAGATTTGACAAGTTACTGATAAACGTTTCTGAAGTTTTCTTCATTTTCTTGTATTTCCAGTTACAAAGTGACACAAGATGGTCCTTACACCTTTAGTTGGGCCTTTCAAAAACTTGGTAGTGACGGAACATGGAAAAGGTGGTTTAATACAGCTCTTACAGAGGAAGTGGATGATAAGGCCATAATCTATGAAATATCAGTCACTAACAGTAAAAATGGTGGAGCCTCAGAGTGTTTGCCTTGTCCTGAAGCAACTGAAGGAACTGGGTATATATATATATATATATATGCATTTTTTTCTCATGCAAGCAGAAAAATTTCATGTTTTGCTTTTTATGATCATTTGTGTTTTATTTTGTCTGTTTTTTCTGGAAGCTTTATGTTGGATTTGAACCATGTGTTTAGATAGGTTTATCCAGTAGTAATTTCAGTTTTCTTAACTTCATGGCCCAGCATGGCCAGGTGGTTAGGGCGTTATAATGTGATGGTCAATCCCACTATTTGTTGGTAAAAGAGTAGCCCAAGAGTTGGCGGTGGGTGGTGGTGACTAGCTGCCTTCCCTCTAGTCTTACACTGCTAAATTAAGGATGGCTAGTGCAGATAGTCCTTGTGTAGCTTTGCGCAAAATCCTTAACAAACAAACTTAACTTCATACCAAGGGTTACTGACTCTTGTTTTACACTGAAAGTTTATAGAAACTTTATAATGATCAACTGTAATTATTTATAATGAACAGTTAAAGTACCAACCATCTCACATTTTAAATGAAAGATTTGCTTCATTGTAAATAGTTGGAAATTCTTCTACCTTTTCAACCATGATATTTGAATTGAAACCCAAATAACTCTTTCCATATGGGGGCAGTCACTGTGACTGAACTTGTATCCATAAAACAACTATCAGAATTTCTATACTATAACATTTAATATGTTTTGTGTATCCTTACAAAATTTGGCAAGCCTTCAGTAAACATTTAAATCTTTTGTACACAAAAAATCAGGTTTTAAAATTAAGTATTTTTACTAAAGATTTGTCCATGAATTATATGACATCAGAGTGTTGACTGCTGTGACTGCAAAGTGATTTTCATGTTAAGGTTAGAAAGACTTCTCTTCATCTGAAAATTTTCAAATTTCTTTTGCGTAACCTATAAAACTTTAAAACTATAAAATTTATATTTTATCTGTTATTTCTCTAACCTAACTATACAGATTTTGTCAATTTAACTGATCTTATAAACAAAATAAAATCTAAATCTAAATTACTGCAGATTGTAATATAAAATTACAATTGTTTATCCTAATTAGCTTAAAGCTCATAACATTTTACATCTGTTTATATTTAATTCTATTGTTTATTGCTTTTTGAACCATGTTTAACTAATAATCTCACCACATAAGTTGTAACATCACTTGGCAAAAACACAGCTCACGTTACCATATTAAATGACGTAGTGTACAATCAGCTCACAAGCATACCTTGTAAAGAATTATCTAATCTAATTATCTTATCTAATCTAATAAGTTTCTAGTTTTTACATGTTAGTTACTTTTACAGCAGTAAGTAAAGATTGTACATGAAAAATCTTTAGCCTTTTTTCTTTTTCTTTTTTGCTGTCGGTTGCCATTATAATTTTAGCCTACTTTTTTTATAATGATGATACTAGTACACTTATACACCTAATAACACAGAATAATAAGAAGCACAAAGCAAATAATGACCTGTAACTATTATAATTTAATTGGCTTTCTAACTAAGACAAGAGGGGCTTGAATTAATTCCCTTTGCTACTTGATTTGAACAATATGAGATAACCTTTCAAACTAAAGGTGAAATATACAATGCTTTGTAAGGAAAACAAGATAGCATTATATGTTATTTTATAGAGTGAAACTTTGCCTTTCTCTTGGCTATAAATGATATAGTATAAAATGTCAGAGAGCATTATTGACGATTTCTGAAAGAAAGGATGTGTGACAGGTGAGCATGGCAAATGGGTCTGATTTTCTAGCTTATTACCCTCTAACCAAATAAGATTGAATGCTATAAAATTATGCTTTGCCTGAGTACTAACCATATTATAATTTTCACATTAAATTACATACTTCAGAAATGGGTGTTAGCTACATTAGATACGGCAGAAGACCGAGAGAACAAATGTCATGATTCTCATAATAGGAAAGCTTGAGGATTTTTTTATATTTCCTTATAAAATTAAATACTTTAAACTTAGGTAGTATTAAAATTGATTTATTAGCAACATTTTTTTTGCTAAGTTTATTCATATACATTTATAATAAAGTAGTTTAATTAAATTTTATGTCACTGGAAATTGTCATGATATGTGCACTTTGACCTACCCATTGTATAAGGGAGAGACAATTTTATGTATTTCATTGTGAAATCACACGTTTTAAATAAAAATTGCAAGAAGATTTAATACGTTTTGACATTTCCTTGTTGTAGGTGGTGACTTTAATGAACAAATTGTAATTCTATGCTATTCATTCAATTTTTGTGTACTAATAGACCGTTAAAGTGTCAAAAGCTAGAACATTCTCATTGTAGAATTTTGTCACATTTTCCAACCAAAGAAGCTTCATGCTTTGCATACCATCTAACCCAATGTTTCCACAGGACTGATTTAGGCATTTTTTTCAAATAAGACTTTGTATAATTATAGTATTTTGGCACTTGTGTATAAGTTAAAAT